GGCTGGCGACGGCGCAGATCCTCGATGGAGTGGGGCTGTGGCGGTGGCTGGGGCCGTCCTCGCTCCAGTACCGGAGAGGATATGTGTGCCGAATGAAGCGGATCAGGTCGCCTCTAAAGGAGGATGTTCTGGGTGCCGGATGGGCTATTTCCTGAGGGAACTCAGGAGTGCATTGATCGGTGCCCCAGTCCTACTCTCATTAAAGAGGGACCGACGAGGCTGCGGCTGGTATATGGGCCGTAGTGGTGGTTCCGCTGCGACGGCTGCGGGTGCTGCTGCTCGGCTGGGCCCTGGCATGGCGACCCCTAATAAGAGCGAGACCTTGCTGAAGGGAGCAGGTACCCTTTGGGGCCGATGTCAGAGACCGGCTGGAGGGCGGTGACTGCGGCGGTAGTGGCACTGCCGTGCCAGGGCGCCGGATTGCGGGTGCAGGTGAATCCCGAAGATGGAGGGCTGTGCCTGACCCTTCGCCTCGCTCGTGTTGCGGTGGTCCCGTGCCTGGCCCGTGGTACCGCAACGGTCCGCGGCCGAGCTGGTACGTCAGATGACGCATTTTGTTCAGCGCCGTGGTTGGATGCGGGTCGGACAAGGTCTGGCCCACTGAAAGCTATGCGCGCAACACCCGGAGTTCAAGTAACCTGGAGCACACACGTAGGGGTTGTACCCTGGGTGGGAATACTCTGGTGCTCGATGGCTGGAGGTAGTCGGCAACGGGGAACCTGCGGGAAGCGGGCGACCTGATCCGTCAGGCAAAAACCGTTGAACATCAGAGCCCACTTAGAAGGGATGGCCACTGGTTGTGCCGGGCGATAGGTCACCGGGTGGGGAAGGAGACCACAAGAGTGTCCCCTTTTTTCTTCCTCGACGTGGTGTCACCTTGTCGTGGTAAGGAGGCACAGGCGATCCGTCGATCCACCGGAGTAGTACCTCTGGTCCAACTGGAGGGAGTTCAGGGTAAAGTGGGTTTCGGAGAGGGGGATTTCGGGAGGGAAAGGGGTGGGCGTCAGAGGCCAGGATGTTTCGGCATCCTTGTACGGGGGCTCCAGGCGAATCCCGGCGTACCCTAGTCTACTACACCGTAAGCCCTAGGTCATGTCTTTGGGGCCCGGGGTCTTGCCTTAACCGATCGGATCATGAGGCGGGTCATTTATAAAACATCACGTAATTCTACGGTGGGAAGTCCTACGCTTATGGGATGAATGGTAGGTGCGTGACCTGTCGCTAGTGGACCCTCACCCGTGCGAACCTGGCGCATCACGGGGACATTTTAGCCTTTTTTTTTTTTTATAACGCAGGGGAAACACCCCCTGGGAGGGGCGGAGGATTATGTGAGACTCTCACTCGCTAAAACACCTGCGGGGTGTCTACCAGTCGGACCGAGATGGGGGGCGTCAGGGGAACTATGCCAGTATTCCCTCCCCGACACCCCGGCCCCAGAGCTCTTAGTCGAGCCCCACGCCCAGTTACCGCGCCCTCCTTCCCTTAGAGGGAAGGTTCGAGGCGCGGCGCCCCAGTCGGCTGTCGCCAACCGGGTTGGCCTTCCGGTGATCTTTCGGGAGAGGGGGAACACCCACCCCACCTCCCAGCTCTCACTCCCCTAGAGTTGCCGCTTTGGGGGCAGCGGGGGAGCGAGGCCCTTTCCCAGAGAGCCTTGCTCCCCACTGTCCCTACCTAACCGACGCGTGAGGGAGTGCGGGAGGAGGTCATTCACCTGCCTCTCCGCATCCCTCCCCCGCGCGTCCGAAGCCGACCCCGAGGCGGCCGGGGGGGCCGCGGAGCCCGGGTTGCCGGTCTCCGCCGCCTCCTCCCGGCCGACACCACCTCGGAGTCACTATCTTCACCTCCCGGGGAGCGCCGTCTTCTCCGACCCCCCTGCACTACGCAGTCCGGGTCGGGTCGACGCTCCCACTCGGCGGCCTCCTTCTGGGACATTACGTCCTTGCAGAAGGAGGCCGCCGCCCCCCATACCTCCTCGCTCCCGCACATGGCTCGCACCATGCGCGGGAGCGAGAAGTCCTCCATCCTGCACCCCACCGCCCGGGCTAGGACACGGCGCTGTTCGCTCCACGCCTCACACTCGGTGAGGGTGTGCTGCGCCGTGTCGTTCGGCTCCGGGCAGTGGTGGCACTCGGTGGTGTTCTCCTTACCAATCCGGTGCAGGTACCTCCCGAAACAGCCGTGTCCGGTCAGTATCTGCACCAGGTGGAACGATAGTCCACGTCCCCTCCTGCCCACTATTTCCGGTAGGCAGGGGCGGACAGCCTCGGCCGTCTGGCGACCGAATCCTCGTGGGTCGGCTAATTCAGCCGACCACTTATCGAGGACCCGGTCACTGGCCTGGTTTCTCAGGGCCCTCAGGTCCCTGGCCGATGGGCCCTCTTCCTTTTGGCGGAGCTCCTTTATTCGCCTATAAAGGAGGCTTCTCTCCTCGGCGAGGAGCTCCACCGGGGGGAGCCTGCCAGGGAGGCCGCCGCCATGTGGGAGATGGTGCGGTACCCCCGGACCGCCCTGATCAGCACTGCCCGCGTGGTCTGCCTGAGCAGGGCCACATTGCGGGCGGTAGCCAACAAGCGGGGCGCCCATATGGGCGCCCCGTACAGGGCGACCGAGTGTACCACTCCCACGTAAAGGCGGCGTGCCCACCATCCAGGGCCCCCCTGGGTCCGCATCAGGCCGGTCAGCGCCGTGCCTATTTTGCGGACCCGGGGGGCCAGACTCCTGAAGTGGGCCCCGAAATTCCACTGGCTGTCCAACGTCAGGCCCAGATACTTCATCGTGGGCCCGACGCGGACGCAGACTCCGTCCACAAGGACCCGGGCTTTTCGCGGCCTCCCTCGACCCCGTCTATGGAATAGCATGGACTGGGTCTTCTGGGGGGCCACTCTGAGCCCCAGGTTCTTGATGGTATTCACCACCGAGTGCAAAGCGGCTTCCACCCTGAGGTGAGCTTCCCGCCAAGCCTTCCCCTCGGCTAAGACCAGAGTGTCGTCTGCATAGCAGACGACGTGGCAGCCGGGGGGGAGGGGAGTACGCAATACCCGGTCGAACGCGATGTTCCAGAGTAGGGGTCCCAGTACGGACCCCTACTGTGGAACACCGCGTTCCATTAGACGCCGGCCTTGGACCCCGCCTCTCCCCGAGTAGGCGAGGTCCCTGTCCCTGAAGTAATCGGCCATTATGCCCCGGAGATAGGCGGGAACACCGTGGTGTTCTAGCGCCCGTTCTATCTCCGGCCAAGGCAGGGTGTTGAAGGCATTCGTTATGTCTAACGAAACCGCCAACAACACCCCGCCCTCGACCTTCACGACGGTACGGTACAGGTCCCCGTGCTGGAGTGCATCCAGCGTTGAGCGTCCGGGCCTGAACCCGTATTGGTTGTCGTGGAGGTCCGGCCCCTCCAGGGGCAGGTGCCGGACGAGGCGGTCTGCAATGATGCGCTCCAGCATCTTGCCCGCCTCGTCCAGCAGGCAAATCGACCTGTAGGCCGGCGGCCCGCCGGGTACCCTGCTCTCCTTGGGGAGGAGGGCCAACTTGGCCCTCCTCCACTCTTGGGGGAAGACTCCCTCTCTCAAGCACCCTTCCAAAGCCTCCCGCGTAGCGGCGGACAGGCTTCCGTCGCCAAGTGCGAGAGCCCACGCTCGGCCAGGAATCCCGTCGGGGCCTGGGGCTTTGCCCTTGGCCCCGAGCTTCTTCCTGAACTCCTCGGCCGAGATCCCCAGGTCCTCGTCCCAGTCCCCGTCCTGGTCAGGAACGGGGATTCTGGGTGGTCCCCTCTCGGCCCTCGGGAAGAGGGTGTCGAGGAGGTCCCTGAGGTCCCGAGGATCCATGGACTCCGTAGGTGGGGGCGCCCACGGACGGATCTTCCCGACCGTCCGTTTGTATGAGCGCCCCCACGGGTCCTCGTCCAAGGAGTCCACCAGGCGCTCCCATGCTCTCGCCTTGGCGTCGTCAATGGCGGCCTTGAGGGCCTTCCGCGCATTGCGGTAGCCCTCTTGTGTCCCCGCGGCGTCCCCGCCGGTTCGCCGGGCCCGGACATACGCCCGTCTGGCTTGGACACAGGAGTCGCGGAGTTCCGCAAGCTCCTGCGTCCACTAGTACGCTGCCCGACGCCGGCGGGGATGGGACCGGGGCATCGCAGGCCGACGTCACGATGCCCACTACCTTAGCCCCCTCAAGGGGGGGCAGAGGGTCCCTTGTACCTGGCTTCTGATCAAGGTGCCAGGTCGCCGCGAGGATGGTCGCCTGAAACCTGTCCGCGTCCAATTGACCCAAGGCCCATCTTTTGGGGAGGGAACGGTCCCCCTCCCCTGGGCGGCGGTCCAGCCTCCGGGTGGGGGAGTCGGAGAGTCCAAGCCACATATCTGTGGTCTGATAAGGACTCTTTCTCCTTCTCCACCACCCACCTTCGGAATAACCTGGCGGCCGAGGGGAAGGCCCACGTCAGGTTAATGGCCTCCCCCCCCGACCGCACAAAGGTGCTGGTGGACCCCGTGTTTAACAGCATGTGGCTTAAATCCGCCGCCCAGTCGGCCACGGCGTCGCCCCGAGGGTCCTTCTGCCGGGGACTGCATCCCCACTCCTCTGAGTGGGCGTTAAAGTCGCCGGCAACGATCACGGGTCGGGGGTGGCACTGGCGTACTACATCCCCGACCTTGTCCAGGACCCTCACAATGCGAGCAAGTTTGCCGAGGCCCGACTTATTGGTCACGGGGGGTAAATATACCCCCACAACCGTGATGGGCCCCAGGTCATCCGCCACATACGAGCGTCCCCTCTTCCTGATTTTACAGGTGGGAACGCCCGTTGCGGGTCTAACCACCATGGCCACGGACCCACACTTACTGTCCAGCCAGTTTTTATTTCTGGCCGGAACATAGTGCAGCTCCGTGACCAAACCTAGGCCAACCATTTCCGCAAGCCTCTGACACCAGAGGTCTTGCGCACGGGCGCCTCGACCCAGGTTGGCCTGTGACACCCGGAGGAGCGTGAAAGCAAGGCCTTCACGCCTCCTCCGGGCGTTCCCCCTCGGTACCACTCGGAGGGATCTCAGGCGGCGATGACGCCGTCCCCGTCTCCTCCGAGCGGTCCTTGGCCATAGTGGCGGCTACTTCTACAGGTGCCTGAATGGTGTCAGCCACTTCCTCTGTTGGTGCGATGGAGGTTCCTACTTTGGGGTTTCCTATCTCCACCTCCCCCTCCTCTCGGGAGTACGAGGGGGGGAGGGTGTCCGGGGGAGTCGGGGGTGGCGCATCCTCCAACTCTCCATCTAGGATGGTTGGGGGTGGGGTCTTCACCCTTCTTACCTTATCTGACCTTTCTGGCATCGCAGACTCCTCTCCAGTTGAAGCCTTCGCCATTGAAGCCTTTGGGAGGGCCGCCTCCATTGCCGTCCTCCTTCTTTTCCCCCTCTGCTGTTTCGGCTCCTCCTCCATAGGGATGGTGGTGTCCTGGCTGCGGCTAGTTGCCGTCACCACCTGCATTTCCTCCCGCGTTGGGGGAGACACCGGTCTGGTCTTCCCCCTTTCCTTGTCTCCACTCTTTCCTGGATCGGGAGGAGTATCGGTCATCCCGGGTCCAGGTTGTCTCCTCCTCTGGGCTTCTCTTCTCCTCCTCTGTCTCCCAGTTAGAGGTCTGCACGCCGGACCCCCGGCCTTATGGCCAGCGGGTTTTCCCGCATCTGCAAATACGGGGCAGTGCACCGCGGTCGCCGTGCAATATTTGGCGCGGTGGCCGGAGTTACCGCAGCGATAACAATTATCGCTGCGGTCGACGGCGCTTCTGCATTGCTCGCGCACATGACCCTGTTCCATACATTTGAAACAGAGCTCCGCGCGAGCAGGCAGCGCCGTCACCCCGGCTCTGGTCCAACCTACTAGGACCCGCCCCGCGGCAGCGACCTTGGAGGCCGCCGCCAGCGGGCTCGCACCACAGCTGTGGCTGTCCCTCGCTGGGTAAACCGCAGCTCATCCCCGGACGCAGTGACCGCCCTGTGATCCTCCCCCTTCGGGTCCAGTTCAGCCCTGGCGTCCACCAGCCTCTCTAGTTCCTGCGTCATCTGGGTGTATTTATCCCTGGCCTCCGGATCCATGTTTTGGAATGCCAGGGATTCGGCCAGATCCTTCTGGACTCCCTTCAATGGGAGTCTTTTGACCGTCACCGGAGCGGTGGCCTCCTCCCGCCTATGGAGGTCTAGGTTGTCGTCATAGACAGCAATCGTGTTTGTCTCCACCGAGGAATTGGAGGAAGGCTCCAATATTGGAACCTTTGTTACTTTCCTCCTCTTCTTTTCCCTCATCCCTCGCTTCGGTGTTTCCTTTGTGTCAGCGTCCGAGGCCGAGGAGCTGCCACCTGTAGCCTCTGCAAATGTTTTGCGATGTTGGTGCAGAACGGGCTGAGAGAGGAGCGCGACTGAGGAGGATAGCTTAGCAGCGTTATTCTCCTCGAGCAACTTTTCGTTTTCCAATCTTAGCTTTTTGTTCTCCTCCCTCAACCCTCAACGTTCATTTCCGCCTCCAGATTGGACCGTTCGTCTGTCCTGCCGTCGGTGGCCGCAAACCTAACCATGAGGGTCTGAAGAATGGCCTCGGAGGAGCCTACCGCCCGGTTCATGAGGGACACGAAGGTCCCCTTGAGGGTATTTGACCTTCGTGCCACTAATCTCAGAACACCGAGCGCACGGCCTGCCTCCGAGGCCAATTCTGACATGGAGGCCTCCCTGAGGAGGGTAGCGGAGCAGGCATCCTTGAACATCTCCTCCATAGGACTTCTGTGACCGCCAGTGACCTCAGTATGCCTGTATTAAGGAGGTTCTCAATATCCTTTTCCAGGCATTTATCTCTTTCCAGCCTTTTTCGAGCTACTTTCGCCTCCCTTTTTTCCCTTAGGCCCACCCCCAGACCGGTGGTGGGCTTCCTACCCCTTGGGTCCCTTTTTCTGTTAAGGACAGGTACCGGGGTGTTCTGCTTCTTGGGAGACGAATCCCCTAGAGAGATGATGGAACTCCCGCTGGTAATCTCCCTCCTTCTCTTCCCCTTGTCCTGAGTCCCCAACCCGCTAACTCCGGCCTCGTTGGGGACAAGGGCCTTCGTTTTCACGGGTTCAGAAGTCGCGAGATCCTTGCCGGTGTTGCTGTTGGATTTCGGAGTGGTAGAGGAGACGAATCTGCTACGCTCGTCCCTCTCCACTCTTGACTTCTGCGAAAGGAGAACGTCTGATACAATTACCGGCTTTTCAGTTGCGCACGTGTACGCATCCCTTCCCCCGGAAACCCGTCCCCTCTTACTAGAGAGGGGGCCAGGCCTATTTTTAAGCGTCCTGCCTGAGGAATTGGCGCCTTTGCCCCTGGTCAGCCCCGTTCCCTCGTTGGGTGGTCCCTCTTCTTTCCGGGGATCCGCCTCGTCTTCCCTCCGGTGGGAGAGACGCATCTCGTCTTCCGACGAGGGTTGCATTCCCCCGGAGCGAGGCCGCCGCTCTTCTTGCCGAGGGCTCATGTCGCGAGTCCCTCGATAGGGACCGCGCTTCTGGCCGGTGTTCGCCAGGGTTCGCTCTCCCTCGGTGCACGGCACCCCTTTCTTCCTTCCCGAGGGGTCCGCTTGACTCACTTCCCGGCGGGAGCGGTCTTTCCGGCATTGCTGCACGGAGTGGGTCCGGATTCCGGGATCAAAATCCGGATCCCCGTCGGAAGACTGACAATAACTTTCGCTACTGTCAGTCAGGCTCCGACTTCGGCTCCTGTAGGAGCTATTATCGGCGGCTGACCTGTCGTCTGTTGACGACATGGCGGGGCCCAGGTCTGGCTCCCCGACACGATGCTTCACGATTGTCGTTTCCTCGCAGATGTTCGTGGTCAACATCTGCGATAGTCCGTCGCTGGATGACGACGTGGGGGGGACCGGGACAATATCCCCAACCTCACGCCGGTTTTCGGCTCCGAATACCGAAACGTTGTGCCTTTCGTTAGTCATAGTAAATCCATCCTGTGCAGGATTGTTACGAGCCCTACCCACTCGGGTGTGATTTCGGGGTTTTCCTTCCCCTAGACCGGCTGCCTTCACCAGACTAACGAACCCGCTCTGCTCGCGCTGTAGGGTCCTTTGGGTCCCACGAGTGGGACCCTCCAGACCCTGGTTAAAACCTGGAGGCAGCTGCCCATCCAGGAGTATTATGGACGCTCTTAGTCTGGTCCCTCTGTACAGGCCACCCCGGCATGGTAGAACCTGCCAGGGGTCGAAACCCCCGCCGGTACAGCCCTGTACATCATTGGGACACGCAAGCTCCCCCACCACGACAAGGTGGCGTCCACGAGGGAGGGGATATTTTAGCCTTATCCCGGGTAATGCGGGAGCTCTACCCGAGATCGACGACCCTTTCTCGCCGTACTCATGTGACTCCAATGAAGTGTCACATTTATAAAAATAAAAAAACTGCGTCTTTGGACTCAAGGTCCCGTGGGAATCTATTATCTCACAGTGGGTCCGAGGACCTACCGCCTGAGGGCGATTTTTCAACGGTGGGTGTTGGAGGTCTCCCGGCGAAGTTCTCCAAAGTTTTCAGCATAGAAAGTTTATTGATATCGTTCAAGATTACGTGAGGCATTCGCCATTGTATCTTGAATAGCTCAATCTTAGGATCCAGCGCTGAAGATCCTAGTAGACTGTTGTTGTAGCTGTGCGATAGTAATAGAATCAATTCGTGATGCGCGTTAATCACTATACGCTTGTAGTCTTCATAGAGTCCTAACAATACGCTGAGTGGTACACAAAAGTTGAAGTATCCGTTCGGCGAAATAGTGTCAGTCTTATCCCACGCGGCATTTTTCATGATAATATTTTGGTCTGAAGATACCGATACATGGTTTTTAAGCGTTGAAGTTATTCCCACGTTTTTGTTACGATCAATCTCCACACCATCATAACGGATCTCATCAAACATGAATGCAATACAATGCAATTATATCCTAACGTTACAGTCGCACCACCGACTGCAACTTGTTTCATCACTTTCCCCTCGACATTGTAACGATACGATCGTTACGCATCGGGCCGAGCCGAATGCAGTCCGCAGGAAAGCACCCTGCACAGGATGCAAGCGAACGAGAGGAGCAATAAGCCCAAGCGAGCGACGGGAGCGAGAAAGCGAGCGAGCGAACAAAGGAGCGAGCGAGCACGCGGCGCGCGCGTGGAGGCAAGGACCGCCTCGGCGCGCGCGGCATGCGATCATCACGTGCCCCCCCGTGTCGCGCGATACGGAAGGGGAACGAACTAGAGTCGCACGGGCGGCCAATATAAGGCGCCGTGCGACTGGCAAGAGCATCTGTCTTCCGATGCCTCAAGACAAGGCACCGATCCGCCTGAAAGTTCTCCGGCATCTCTTCCACGGCGAGCATACTCGCCATCCTGAGAGCGAGTGTCCTCGCCGTCTTCTCCAAGGCGAGCGTACTCGCCGCCTCCCTAACAGCGAGCGTACTCGCCATTCTGAGAGCAAGTGTCCTCGCCGACTTCTCCAAGGCGAGCGTACTTGCCGCCTCTCTAAAAGCGAGCGTACTCGCCACCCTGAGAGCGAGTATCCTCGCCGATTTCTCCCAGGCAAGCGTACTCGCCACCTCCCTAACAGCGAGCGTACTCGTCATCCTGAGAGCGAGTGTCCTCGCCGACTTCTCCCGGGCGAGCGTACTCGCCACCGTCTTCCAAATAGCGAGCGTACTCGCCAACCCGAGAGCGAGTGTCCTTGCTATCTCAAGGCGAGGGTGCTCGTCCGCCGTAGACAACGAAAAGATCCACGCAGATCGCCTCGACCGCATCTCCGCGTGCGAATACGTGGCCCGAAGCGCCACGGGCAGCCCGCCGGCCCGAAACTTTCCGCGGACGGAACACGGCAAGCGACCACCCACTGGCCGCACGCACCACTCATTACACCTCGGCACTGTTCATTTCTAAATAAAGCTATTTTATTAATATTCGAACAACTAATTGAGCGCGATCCCTTCCCGCCGCTGGGTCCGGCGAGCCGCGCCTCGCCGAGATCCCTCGATAACAGTCCTTAGCGGGAAGGACCCGCACGGACGCACACCAGGCGTCACAACATAGAGATAACTCTCGCATGGCAATATGTATAAATCCTGCTGCTGTATGGGTATTCGTATCTCGTCGCTATATCCAAACATTGTGTTAACGTATTGTACGTATTTATTGTGTTAACGTATTGTACGTATGTGTCTCAATCTTGACGATACGCTCGTCAAAGACCGGTTCACTTCCAATATTCAAAATGTTAATCATCATTCTCAATCGTTTCGTACGATGAATCCCAGAGATTTCAAAAATTCAACGTTTAACGCGTTGAGTTTCTTTCGAACGGGATTTTGTACTCTTAATCGCGTGTTTCGTAAAAGATATATTTCCAGCTTGTTTCTCCTGTTTGACTTGATTCACCACAAGCATTTCATAGACTACGTTTATTATCATCGCCGTCGTACGTGCAATCTAATGGTAATCTCTTCTCCACGAAAATCGAGCGATTGTCCTTCTTGATCAACTACACGCACCGTTAAATCTGTAATGCTCCGTGC